TAGAAATCGAGCAATGGCCGGAGAAGCGTTGATAAAAAGACAGTAAAAAACTTAATGGACGACATTGCAACCGCAGATATATAAAAAAAAAAAAACAAAAGAAATAAAATATACGATTTTCCCATCAAAAGATAAGCAGCCATAATCAACAAAATACTGCGTTAAAATAAAATGATTTTAAACTCTAAGATTATTTGGGTTACCCGATCATTTTCAAGGAAAGTAATCACCACTGGAGCGTTGGTAAAAATGCAAAAAATAAATGAATAATGACCGGCAGTTTTATGGGAAGGACATTAAAAATTTTTAATCGCATTTCTTTTCGCACTTGGTACTGTGCTGTTGTATTATTAATTTTCTGTAATTAGAAGGTGCGACGGGAATAACTCCCACGTGATGGTAAGACATTACCTAAATGAAAACATTATCGCCACTATCGCAAAATAATCCCAAAAGACCCCCCACCCCCCAAAAAAAAGAACGCACTGATAATTCCAAATAGATTAGATATTAATGATTTCTTTCTCTTCAGTTATTTTTGCCTGCATACAAGTATATTTTATTCCTTCTTAATCCTTTATTAACCACTAGCAGCATGGCCCGGCGTTGCCCGTGCTTGATTCAAAAATCGTACGACTCATACAGCAATCGCTATCACTTGACTTAAAATATTTTTGCCCTTCCTTGCCTTTAAAGGAGTGCCCTTTGCCGTGCCGATGTTGCTACATGCCTTACTTCTTGCCTATCTCACACTGCGATTTTTTTCTAAGCTCTATACTAAACATTAAATCTGTTACGAAAAAAGAACTAAACAAAATGAATACAAAACGATCAGCTTTAAAAAAGGACTCGTAACTGGAAAAACTGAATGAAAAAAGAATGTTAACAACAAATACTTTTTCACACCCAACTCAGTTCTGAGGAATCAGAATCAACGTTGAGTTTAAGCAAGCGAATGAGCCAATTGGAGTAAAGTGCCATGCAGTTTTAAATTTTTCCCACTTGTGACGAATGCAGCTATCTATTTTTTTGCATGCTAGCATGCTAGTTACCATTCGTGTCAGTCAGCTGTTGGCTCTCACGCTGGCCAGTAGAACCTTCCTGCCTATTCGTGGTAGCCATCTATAGGCTCTCACTCTGGCCAGTAGAAAATGGCCGCAAACTACATGAAAAATGCCGTAGAAGCATGAAAAAATCGATTATTTCCACTATCGATGGGAGTTGGGAAATGCAAAGTCGGTGTTGGCCTTTCCCGCTAACTTGGAGCATGCGTATGTAAATTTTGGTGCAAATCCGTCGAAAATTGCGGCCGTGCATTCGTTACACACACACATACACACACACACACATACACACCTCCTGCCTTTTATAGATAGAGATTTATAAAACACGTGAAAATATCGCCTTGTTGGCATCTATTCCATTTACAACAGAAACACTTACATAATGGTAAGACATTACCTAAATGAAGAAACTATAGCAACTTGCCTATGTTCATTATCACCAGATATAGGTAACAGTTTAAAATTTTGGCAGGTATTTCTGGCGAACCCTGTAGAAGAGGTGGCGCGGATTGGTATAGAGTACTTCCTTTGCTCGGAGAGGCGGAAGTTTAACTTTCCCGCGAGAAATGTGGCGGTATAACCAAGAGCCACACAAGGTGGAGATTTACCAAATGAGACAGTTGTAAGGGTATACAAGCATGGAACAAGATATGCAGATAGGTCAGTTGCTTAACGATTTACATAAAGGTTGACCCTAGAATTGAAGAAGTGAAAATTATAATAGTTGAGAAATCAACCTTTCGTGATGTGTTTCATAAATTCAACTGTTCTGGAGAAGTAAGCATCCGAGCGTAACTTCCTCCTTACAAATGGATTACAAAGGGAATGAGGATGAGTCGACTCCGTGTACGTGGACTGGCAGGTCCTAGTTGTAAAGGGGTTTAATAGAAGAAAGAAGAAAGATAGTTCACCCGATTATCTAACATGAAAATAATGATTGCTAGTAACGAGCAATGTTTAATCTAGGTCAGTCAGTTAGTTGTGTGCCATGCGTGATGCACGCTCAGATGATACATGACTGACGAGGTAGATTTTTTCCCCCGCAGTAGGTTGCCATTTCCTTCTGCGGTAGACTGGTTGCCATCCAAGGCTATAGAATCCGGTCTGCCCTGCTATTTACCCATAGCTGTAGGGAGAAGAAGAGTATCAGCACGTAAGTGAATCTAAATGGATTCGACTAGAATTCGAACTCGGATCTCCGTTTCCTCAATCTGTGTCGCTATCATTTACTCCACCGTGAGAAACGCGATATCGAACGATTAAAATGAATTTTTAATAACGAAAAATCTTTGTTGGAGCTTTTATTTTTAATTTGAAGTTTAAGCTGATAGATTAAATTTAATATTTCCAATAAACAAAATAATTTGCTGTATTTCAAAACGAATTTAAATTGATTGGATGGAAGAAGACATAAATAATTAAGACTCAGCCACAGCGTGTAACTTAAAAGAACAAACATTACAATACATTTTTTTTTTTTATAAAATATACAGTATTTTCCAAAAAGGATTTGCACAAAAATTCTCATTTGTGCGTCTTATTCAAAATAAGTAAATAAATAAATCTGTCTTTATTCTAAATCTTTTTCCTGGATAGATAGCATCATGTCCATTCCAAGGGTCTCGTGGGTCACCACTGAATTTATGACACTGGGGCCACCCGCTCTTAACTTTCATAAGGTTGTATTCATATAAAATACAAAATTTATTGTAACCTATGTACAAGAATGCATCATCAAATCTCTGTGTTTCACACTTTTTTCAATTAAAGGGACATAACTCTCTAACTTTTAAATAGCTCATTTTCTTCTCTTGAAAGCAGTGATCTTTACTGGTCGAGGAAAGGGGGAAAGAGTTTTAATTCCAAGAATCCCGTTAATTCATCCAGATGGAACCCTGCTTTTCTCACAGCCAGCTCTATGTTGGTTGTTCAAGGTTCGGGAATGGAAACTATTTGTACTGACCTCGAATGGCAAAACCAAGAATATTGTTTATCATGCAGCTTTGCTATAAATTCCAAATAGACAAATTATATCATTGTTTTGATGAAAATTTCTTTTGTTTGTAAAATATTGTTCAACTTTAATAAACTTTAATATTCTCTCTATATTTCTGAGATGAGGTACACTATTTACATTATTCGGACTATTATCCTCATCTTTGTCGCCATATTTATCACAACGTTTCCTCAAGCAAAAGCACAGTGGATAAAGGCGTTGGTTAGATCCAGTGACAGGACCCAAAGAGTGTGAGTTCAATACCCGGTTAAGGCAGTGGAGAACTTTCAGAGGGAAATTAGCAGGAGATAACTGATAACTGACATCCATCAAACATGGAACTAGAAAAGTCTACCCCAGTGAGCGAAATAAAGGGTTCAGTTCGACATTCCAACCACCTGAAGAAGGCCGGAGCGTACAACGGCCGAAACGTTGTTATAAATATGGCGACAAAGATGAGGACAATAGTCCGAATAATGTAAATAAACTTTAATATGTACTCAATGCATGAAGTGTCATTATTGGACCGAAGGCCCAATCAAGAGGCCTCAGAAAGGGCTAGCTTAAATGCCTCGGCTTTTAAGCTAGTCTATATAATAAATGCAAATATCAGTGTGTCACAAGTTTTCACCTTTATTCCCAGAGGCCGACTCCGTGAACAAATTAAAGACATTCCGGACCGGATCCAGAAATCGCCATCCTGAAATTCTGGATTCCTAAGTTTTCATTACTGCGTGATTTTAACTTGCGACGAATTCTTTGTACGACAACAATTTTTATAACTTGGAATTAAATTTGGGAATAATCGAAATTAATTACGAAATCCAGCGAAAGTCACCTATGAAATAAAAATAATTGTTTGTATAGAAAGTAAAGACCTACGTACATCAAATTATCTTTAAATTAATAGACAACAGAAGAATTATTGTTGAGCCTTTAAAAGTTAAGTTTAAATATTAATGCAATACTTAAATGCAGAGAGCAATTTTGAGTTCTGTAGTTTATTGTTGCCTATAGAATCTACTTTACTCTACCGAGTGTGATGAAGGCCCAATTAAGATCCCTCTGCAGGAGCTAGCTTAAATGCCACCTGATCGGGCAGATTTTAAGTTAGTATGCATTATTGGTGAACAATTCAACTAGAAACATTGAAAATAAATAGAATGTATCTAAATATAAATTAGAGACATGTCATAATAGATCATTCTATCTTAAATAAATCAACAATGTTTTTGTTTTTTAACATTAATTTGAGATTTTAAACACTTGTTAAAAAGTTGAAGAATTTTAACATATTCAACATTATGGATAAAAATAGCAAATTTTCTATATTTTTTTTGTGGGGGGACCTAACATAAGCAAAACAATTTTACAGATTTGGACGAGAAAAAAAAATTGCAGAATGATGTCAAAATTTGTCATCATTAAATAGTCACTTGTGCTTAGTTCAGTTTGCCGGATCTCGCCGAATCAGACTTAGGCTCCCCACTTCCCCGTTGAGGATTTCGGGGGTAATAAGGACTGGTCCTGGAGAATGTCGCCGTGGGACGCTTGTCGTGTATGAAACAACCGTTTTCCTTGCTGAGAAAATATAATCTTTGGTCTTTTATTTTCGCGGGAAAAGTGCACGTGACTCTACTTATTTTATCCTATTTTTTTTTTTTTTTTTGCGTGAGAGGAAATTTTTATGCCATTCCTTCACGCACGCACGCATTAAAGTTGAAATGAGGTCCCCGGCCTCTGGGTTCTTAGGGACAGAAACAATTCATTGCTAGGAGGTAACATGAATGTTTTTATTTTTATTTTTTTTTTTTTTGCGGGGACAGTTCTCATAAAATTCAAATTAATGCCATAGGTATTCTCCTATATAGAATCGGGTAGCTCGCCAGAGGGAGGGATAGGCCATAAATAAACTTTATACCAACCCACATCTCTACCTCATGTTGTTCAAAGTGCCTCTCCCCCCTCTCTCTCTACTCTCTCTCTCTCTCTCTCTCTCTCTCTCTCTCTCTATCTATCTGAATGTGCGGGCGGTGTAATGGATGGCGGATCGGGATGAGAAATCGGAGAGCCGAGTTCAAATGTAGATGCGGCACGTTACGTTCACTTAGGCGCAGAAATTTGGGAAAGCTATGAAAGTTAAAGTTCAAATAGTAGAAACTGAAAAAAATATAATTCTCAAAATCTTGTTACGGCAAGATTCACTGTCAGAAAAAAAAAAAAAAAGTTAAAAATATTTCAGATTTAATTTAAATGAGGTACCTCTAATAATTCGGTAAAAAATCAGTATAGCATAATGATAAAATGTCCGAAACTTAATAAAATCAAAGTTTCATCGTTAAAATGTTTATGTTATTATTAAGAGAAAAGAACAAAGTGTTTTTTTAAATATTTAAAAAAAAATGTCCTTCTTTCTAACACGTTCTAAATTTGAATAAAAAATCTCGTTTTTTTTTTGGTTAACTTTGTAATACTTGTGGAAATGGCCATTTTTTAGTGTAGCAGATTCAGAGGGAAAACCTATTAATGTGCAAATCCTTGCAAAAAAACAAATAATAGTCTGATTTAAAAAATTTTTGAAAAATTTAATCTTTAGCTTTCAATTGAAGCGGTTGGAAATCTTCGAAAAGGATTTTTCTTTATAAAAAATACATTTATACATTTATTTAGGTATACGAATTTTTGGAGGTACCTAAATTAAATAATCCACAAAGAGTGGATAAGCCATAAAAAAACAAAAAAAACGTATCTTTCTTTCTATGTATACAACTATCTATGTATCTGAATCACCCCAGTTTCTTCTCTGTATGTGTGTTTGTATGTGCATTTATATATATATATATATATATATATATATATATATATATATATATATATATATATATATGTATCAGTTCACTCCACATTCTTTCTTATCTATCTATCTATTCTATCTGTCTATATATATATATATATATATATATATATATATATATATATATATATATATATATATATATCCTACAGACGCTATTCTATCGCTACTTCCATGGCAAATGTTCTTCTTTAATTTTGATCCAGTGCCCTCTTTATGTAAAGCTTCTTCTTCTTCTTGTTGCCTCCTCCTCCTCCTCCTTCTTCTTCTTCTTCTCGTCCTTCTCTTCTCCTTCTTTTACTTTTCGCACTCCTCTTCCTTCTCCTTTTTTTTCGCACTCCTCTTCCTTCTGCTTCTTATTGTCGCTTCCTCCTCCTCCATCTTCTTCTTCTTGTCCTACATCCCTTATTTTTTGTACATATATATATATATACATATATATATATATATGATTAATGTATATTTGCACTGGAACCTTTCTTTTAAACATCTTTCATTAAATATTTAATTTTTTATTTAGTTTTCCCGTTTGGAGGGAGGGAGGGAGGGAGGGAGTACGAAATCTATTCTTGTTGTCCATTGTCTCAAGCACTTCCGGTCATTTATTAGCCATTTTCAAGGGGGGGTTTCTTTTGGCGTGGTTAATAAATTTTCATGTTTTAAATGTGTGAGATGTATTATTCGTTTATTATAGTCAGTCAGTTATGTGCCATGCGTAATACACGCTTACACGATCATGTATACATGACTGACGAGGCACATCGCCATTTCTTTCTGCGTTTGTCCAGTTGCCATCCAAGGCTATAGAACCCGGTCTGTCCTGCTATTTACCCATAGCTGGGAAAGAAGAGGAGGATTCATACCTTTCCCAAGTGTATGTAAGTGAATGTAATGGATTCGACTGGAATTCGAACTCGGCTCTCCGATCCCTCAATCCAAGCCGCTATCCATTACTCCACCGTGCCTCCTAATTATAATAGAGGTGTTAATTCCGAATCGTGTGTTGGGCATGGCTGGAATTTGAGTGGGTGTCTTTTTATTTTTAAAATACTTTCAGCGCTCCGTTGCTATTGTTAAACAAGGTATGGTTGCTGGTGGGGTAGAGCTTTTTGATGTACAAGGCCTATCGGGAATTTGATTTACAAAGGACTTTAGTCTTTTCGAGGAGCATCTTTTATTAAGGGTTCTTATAGATTATATGCTGATTGATGTTTTTTATGGCGCTCTGCTCTGATAAGTGACATATGAGGCGACTACACAAGGAGATGGTTGTATGTCCGATATAGTTAATGTTCGACATAAAAATTGAAAGTCACCTACTCGAATTCCAGCCGTGCCCAATATATATATATATATATATATATATATATATATATATATATATCCAGGTAAGATGACAACGAATGGAGTACAATTCCATTGTTCTTAACATTTAATTTAAAAGAGGGCTCAATACGGAGTAGAGGAATATTATTTATTTTAGGATATTACACAGAAATCTTGTCAAAATCGCTACACAATTGCAGTCGTGTTTCGATGCATATCAATGCGTCTCATCAGGTGATTGTAAATTACTGGCGAGTGAACGATTTATTTAGATTTAAAAGCAAAATACCTCTTTTTACGAAAAAAACTGGGGCTACAAGGTGTGTGTGCTTTACTCTGATCAACCAATCATATATGACCTACGTTAAATTTAAGCAAAGCGAAGACGCCAAAATTAAAAAAATTATTTTTTTAATAAATGGGTCATGACCCGTAGATTGGCAGTTAATGCCAGCACAGACATTAAGCAGGGGCAGGATACATACATATTATACACGCTAGACAACGCCATTTCCTAAGATAAAATGAAGTATATATATATATATATATATATATATATATATATATTATATCCAAGTTTAGGATTGGTGTATACGGAATAAATTCCAATAACCAAAAATACCATTCTTAAAAGAGTGCTGAATACAGAGTAGAGAAAATATAAAACCCTCTATTCTACATTCAACACCATCACTTGATAAGACACCAGAAATGTTGAAACAAAATGGCTATTTTTGTAGTGATATTTATGTTATAATTTTCGAATAAATTATATATATATATATATATATATATATATATATATATATATATTACTATCTTAAAACCACCCCTCAAAAGCGTATAAAATTATATATATATATATATATATATATATATATATATATAATATATATGTATTTAGTTGGATTGATTTGAGTTTGCGATCGTATATATATATATATATATAGATAACTAGACTCGTTTTTGAAAACCCTCGAATTTTTGATTTGCTAATCAAATCAATCTCGAGGGAAAAAGGTTTTAAAAAAGAAAGAGCTACAAACATGAACTTCTGTCGACAAAAAATCGCACAGATGCAGGGTCTGAAGCCCAAAGAAAAAACACGATACGAGTAACAACTAACTAACAAAAGAGCTCAATACAACCGTGTAGAGCAGACCTAGATACACCTAGTGAGCCAGACAAACCTACCTAGGTTTCACCTAAACGGATCGTCAGGGAAAGTTTGGCTAACGAGGCAAAGAGAAACACATCTATATCTATCTATCTATCTCTCTCTCTATATCTCTATATATATATATTTCTTTTGCCTCAAGTGTCTTCATCTGTGAGGAGATTATCCAGCATTCTCTAGTCTATTTAGCACTTTCTTGTTTCCCTTTTCTCTAAAACTTCCTTGTGGCTCACCTGTTCAGTCCATAATATTCTCGTCATCCTTCCGTAGAACTACGTTTCTTTTGCTCCGGGTGTCTTCTTCATCTGCGAGGAGATTGTTCAGCATTCTCTGTTCTATTCAGCACTATTTTTGTTTCCACTTTCTCTAATACTTCCTCGTTGTTCACATGTTCAGTCCATAGTATTCTCAGCATCCTTCTGTAAACCCACATTTCTGATGCCTTAGCGGAGAGCTAATCTGGTTACCCATTACTACAGAATGGTGAGTTCGATCTGGGTACCATATACTTATGGCTCTTTGGTGAACCAAGCAAAGCTTATTAAATGACGACCTCAACACCGGGCCAATTTATATTCGAAGCCGGACTCGTTTAGGATTTCATCTCTTCCCGTTTATTCAGTGTTGACTTTACCTGACCGGGACTGTTTCGCCTTCAAGTACTGTATATTAAATCAACAGAAGACGTTGTCTTGCCCATAAATCTTCAAAGCAAACACCTAATCCCACCTCCTCCACCTCCTGTTTAGGGGTTAACGTCTCCTTTAATTCTGACCGCGGATCCGTGTTAACGTTATAACCCACTGGCCCTTTTTATGTAAAGCTTCTTCTTCTTCTTCTTCTTCTTGTTGCCTCCTTCTCCTCCTTCTCCTCGTCCTTCTTCTTCTTCTTGTCGCCTCCTCCTCCTCGTCCTTCTTCTTCTTGTCCACCTCAACCATGTCGTTAATGTTGTCGTTGTCATCCTCCCCTTTCTTCTTCTTCATGTCCTTCTTCTCGTCCTCTTCTTCTTCGTCCTTCTTCTTCGTCCTCCTTTTTCTTCTTCTTCTTCTTCTTCTTTTTCTTCTTTTTCTTCTTCTTCTTCTTCTTCATGCCTCCTTCTCCTCCTTCTCCTTCTCCTCCTCGTCCTTCTTCTTCTTCTTGTCTCCTCCTCCTCGTCCTTCTTCTTATCCATCTCAACCATGTCGTTGATGTTGTCGTTGTCATCCTCCCATTCCTTCTTCTTCATGTCCTTCTTCTCGTCCTCTTCTTCTTCGTCCTTCTTCTTCGTCCTCCTTTTTCTTCTTCTTCTTCTTCTTCTTCTTCTTTTCTTCTTCTTCTTCTTCTCGCCCTACATCCATTAATGCCAACAGCTCAGACATTTACTTCTCCTCCTTGTTCTTCTTTACGTCCTGCTTCCTGTTCTCGTCTTCTTCTTCCTCCTATTCTTTCTTTCTTTCTTTCTTTCTTTCTTTCTTTCTTTCTTTCTTCTTCTTCTTCTTCTTCTTCTTCTTCTTCTTCTTCTTTTCGCCTCCCTCCTCCTCCTTCTTCATATTCTCATTAATAAGCTAAGAATCGGAAGTTTATGAAATTCAAATATATTTGAATTTCATAAACTTCCGATTCTTAGCTTATTAAACTTCAAATAAATTAATGATGAACATGTCGATTTTGTTTATTATCGATTTCATCACGATTCTTCTGTTAAGCTGGGAGAGTAATTATACATTCTTATCATATATATATATATATATATATATATATATATATATATATATATATATTATGGTCCAGGTTAGGACCAAGGAAGAACAACACGAACACAAGAGTAGAAATAACGATGGTATATTACACGAAATAATAATACAAGATGTGGAAGGTGTTAGTATGACTGTCAGTCTGGTTTGGACTGAACTACTATCGGCTCGACTCGATTCGGTATGTAGCCACCCCCCACGAGGGTTGTATGTGGCACAAGGCAGAGTTTAATGTGGGTTTCCCGAGCCCGTAGTCTCGGCCAAAAAATGCGCGTAGAACCCGTATAAACGGGATCGGGTTGGTCAACCTCCCCGAACGAGACTCTGCCCTTCGGCGGAGCCTCGTCCGGTTTCCTCTCTGCTCAGAGGCAGAGAGTTCGACCGTCAAGCCGAGAAGCTCGGCTTGATTCGTCCCTCTCTCTTGAGAGGGGTAGTATGCATAGTGTTAGGAAGAGTTCATTCTGTAGTTATAGGTAAGGACCCATGACAAAATATATATATATATATATCTAATAAAAAGGCTTAAACACTAATATTCCATGGTCATAATTTATTCCATTGGAATCGTAAATACGATCCAATTCATCAGACCTACAAATTCAAAATGAAAACAGAAAAAAACACATATATATATATGATTTTTTCATATAGACAAGAACAATTTACTCACTACAAAGATGCAACTTCGTTTCAGTGCATTTCAATTGCACTTCGACTGGTAAGAACCAAAATGGTTATGAACAATTTTGTTTGTAAGCAGGCTGCACGTGGAACATCACTTCTTTTTTTCTGTTTGCTTGAAAAAAAAGTACATAGAAGGGACGTATAAGGATAAAGAAAAAAATCTGTCATCCTTTCGCATCTGTTTTTTTCAGCTGAGTTTGTAAAGAAAAACCTTCGGAAATTAAGTATTTCTGTACATTAAACGATATTTAAAACGAAATGCTCAGAAATTGATAAAAGCTATAATTTATACTAGCAGTACTTAGCACATTAAACCCCAGGTTTCGCACCGAGTGCAATGTTGATTTTTTAAAGGAAATGAAAAATCAACTTACTCTAATATATATTGATATAGATTCATTTTATTGGATGGTTAGGGAATGCAAATACGAATAAAACAAAAAACAAAAACAATATTCGTAGGAGAGTTCTATAAGCGAGAGAAGAAATTCCTTACGTTCTAGCCATTTCAACTGTAAAATGATGAGACCTTGCAGCCAATCTACAAAGCCGTGGATGTAATACCGTGAGAGAGAAGAAACTGTTAGCATAGAACTTGCGGTGGCATCCATCTAGCCGTTTCAACTGTAAAATGATGAGATCTTTCCATGAATCTAGTACTACGCTTAAATTCGTAAAGTGTAGGCAACAAAAATGAAAGCCCATCAAAACAGTTAGCATGAAACTCCGTTAGTGCGGTGAGAAATAATGATTGTCGAAATGCCAGGTCACGACCAATACTATTGCAGATTCTTTGTATTTTTATCAAGAATCGCTAAATGCATAACAGAAACACCAGACCAGATGTGGCAGCAATATTCAATGCATGATCGAATAATTGACTTATAAATGTGTCAGATAGATTCTGGAGAGAAAAAAAATGTTTAGCATGACACAGGGAACCAATATTCCTAGCAGCAGACCTGGCAGTTGATTCGGAGGTTAGTATCAGCCATGAACAGACGATTATAAGAGCCGTTTTGTATTGGAAGCGTTAACAAGCCATTTCTTGCCCCAGTTAACAACATATTGTCTGGTGAAGATTACTCCATTTTTATGGCTTTCTTTCATCTTTTCTTTCTTTTTTGAAACTATACGCCTTTCGCCCTAATTTCCTTTCTTTCTTGAACTTGTTCGCCTTTCTTTTTACTTTTCTTTCTTTATTTATTTTTATAACTTATATGCCTTTCCCCTACATTCCACTACCTTACTTCCTTCCTTTCTTTTGAACATACGCCTTTCTTCCTACTTTTCTTTCTTTCTTTCTTTCTTTTGAACTTATACGCCTTTCTTCCTACTTTTCTTTCTTTCTTCCTTTCTTTCTTTCTTTCTTTCTTCCTACTTTTTTCTTTCTTTCTTTCTTTCTTTCTTTCTTTCTTTCTTTCTTTCTTTCTTCTTGAGGCTTGTACGTTTTTCTTCCCACATTTCTTTCTTTCTTCCTTTTTGGAACTTATACGCTTTTTCATCCTACATTCTTTCTTTTTTTCTTTCTTTCTTTCTTTTGAACTTATACGCCTTTCTTCCTACTTTTTTCTTTCTTTTCTTTCTTTTCTTTCTTTCTTTTTGAACTTATACGCCTTTCTTCCTTCTTTTCTTTCTTTCTTTCTTTTCTTTCTTTCTTTCTTTTTCTTTTTGAACTTATACGTCTTTCTTCCTACTTTTCTTTCTTTCTTTCTTTCTTTCTTTTCTTTCTTTCTTTCTTTCTTTTGAACTTATACGCCTTTCTTCCTACTTTTCTTTCTTTCTTTCTTTCTTTCTTTCTTTTGAACTTATACGCCTTTCTTCCTACTTTTCTTTCTTTCTTTCTTTCTTTCTTTCTTTCTTTCTTTCTTTCTTTTGAACTTATACGCCTTTCTTCCTACTTTTCTTTCTTTCTTTCTTTCTTTCTTTCTTTCTTCTTGAGGCTTGTACGTTTTTCTTCCCACATTTCTTTCTTTCTTTCTTTCTTTCTTTCTTTCTTTCTTTCTTTCTTCTTGAGGCTTGTACGCTTTTCTTCCCACATTTCTTTCTTTCTTTTTTTCTTTCTTTCTTTCTTTCTTTCTTCTTGAGGCTTGTACGTTTTTCTTCCCACATTTCTTTCTTTCTTTCTTTCTTTCTTTCTTTCTTTCACCGCCTCCCCTGTCTTTTACTTCAACAATTGCTATCCTATACTTTGGCACTGTCACAATGACTGACTACTTGTAACTTGCGACAGGACACTTTAAGCAAAGTGACGTCACTCGGTCATACGTCACTACGTCAAGTGACCACACTATCCCGTCCAACATAGTCTATCCATCATGGCGACGGTAAAATCAACGCCCTCTACCTGTCAACTTGAACAAGAAAATAGCAAAACAAAACTTAGGACACTGAAAAAAAATAGATAGATAGATAAAAGAAAGAAAAAAAATGTTAGAACCCAAAATCCTAAAACCAACAACCGAAAACCAGTCAGAAAAACACGAGAATTAAAACTGGCTTTCAAGAAACGAGAAATAAATATAAATAGAAAAAAAGGAAAGAAAAATCCTTGACTGGCCAATGTGATATCAAGCCGGACTTTTTTTTTTTTTTTTTAATTATATTGTCGTTTGAGTAGACGCAAGGTTTGTACAGCAATGGAGATTATTAACGTCTTTCACCTGTGTAAAAATTAAAGGGAGATAACTTCCCGAATAGTGCTTAAAAATTTATGCATAATTTAAAAATGACACCTGCGAATTGGACCATTGTTTTTTTTTTTTGTTTTTTGACTAATTATTCCCCCAAAAGAAGTCTCAAGAGCCACTCAAAATAGAAGATTACTGTGTGGAGTTATGTTAGTTCAGAAAAGGAGTATAGAACTGAAGTTACTTTTAGAAGGGACCGGCAATCCGATCCTAAACTGGAAACAAGGGATAAACCCCTACTCCTGTTCAAAAGACCGGGGAGGTGTTTGAACCGGACGATAGCCAAACTTATTTACGCTAATATATATACCTTTTGTCCTTTAAGTTATTTATCATTGAAATCATCATTCATGTAATAATATTATTAAATATGTCGGTTTTATTCTAGGAATATTTTTAAACGAGTAAAATTGACAAAAACAAACCCGTTGAAACAGTTGTCCTAACCAAAATATATGCATGACGTTTTTTTTCTTTTTTTTTTCTTTTTTTTTTTTACAGTAAGATTCATTCTGGACAAGACCCGGGTGCCACTCAAGGTAGATGTTTACATTAGCAGGTAATTTATGCGGACAGGCGGTGAAGATAACGATTAACTCTAGACTTGAACAAGTTAAGATTGAAGTGATCGAGGAAAACATCCTCTTGGGAGTCTGTTCCACAGAGAAGTGATTCGTGGGATGAAGCTGTTCGAGTGGAACTTACTTTTCACCGATAGAACACGGAGGGAATGTAGGTGGTATGCTACAATGGGAGTGGCACGGCTTGTACTTGCCGTGAAGCTTAGAACTGGTGGATGCAACAAATATAATTCGCTCGAGGAATTTTCGTGGAATGAGCGATAGAGCAGTGAGAGTCTTGCTCCCCCCCCACCTGAGAGAGAGAGAGAGAGAGAGAGAGAGGTTGGAGGGTGGAAAATTGTTGTAATATAGGAAGCGTTACTGAATAGTTGAATAATTATGGATCCGAATGCAGTTATTTGGTTATTTATAATGTAGCTTGTTAGCATTTTTCTTTTCATTTATTATTGATTATTTTATTGTTGGTTGTTATTATTGCATTTTCGTGTATATATTATTACGTTTTCTAGTAAATATTATTATGTTTTCGTTGTATCTATTATTACGTTTTCTTGTATTTCTTATTACGTTTTCTTGTATTTATTAGTACGCTTTCTTGTATTTATTATTACGTTTTCTTATATTTATTATTATGTTTTCTTGTAATTATTATTACGTTTTCGTGTATTCATTATTACGTTTTCTTGTAATTATTATTACGTTTTCTTGTATTTATTATTACGTTTTTTTATATTTATTATTACGTTTTCGTGCATTTATTATTACGTTTTCTTGTATTTATTATTACGTTTTCGTGTATTTATTATTACGTTTTCTTATATTTATTATTACGTTTTCGTGTATTTATTATTACGTTTTCGTGTATTTATTATTACGTTTCCTTGTATTTATTATTACGTTTTCGTGTATTTATTATTACGTTTTCTTGTATTTATTATTACGTTTTCTTGTAATTATTATTACGTTTCCTTGTCTTTATTATTACGTTTTCTTGTATTTATTATTACGTTTTCGTATATTTATTATTACGTTTTCGTATATTTATTATTACGTTTTCGTGTATTTATTTGTGCGTTCGTGGTTGGTTAATGCATCAAATCCTACACTGTCCTTTATATATAAATAGTCATGTAAAAACACAACGCACGTGTCCTGACGATAGCATGAAACAGAGTGTCGCCTTTGGGTGTCCACTTTAATGTCCACTTTTATATTTACATAACTTCTCTACCTGATATTGAGTACTTAAACATAAATATAGTATACCGTAACACTACATAGAAACCGACATTTGATCTGACGTGCTGTCCCTATTCAGCCACAGAGAAGCGTGCGAATTACTCTATATAAGTATACACACCGACGATTTTTCTCGATCGATCATTTCTGTTCACGAATCATAACTTAACGTAAACAATGACAACATATTATGAAATGGATTAAATAATTGTTGGATTTAATCCATTTCATAATATGTTGTCATTGTTGGTAATAGTACGTCAGATTAAATAACAGTTCCCATGGGGGTTACAGGTTCGATTCCTGTCGGAGAGCGCATACTTTCAACGAAATTCCTCGAACATTCAGGCCGGTAAATACTGTTTAATAAAGGAAACAGTGTTTGCTTAAATAAATTATATCTATAAAAATATCTATAAACCGAATACACACACACATATATATATATATATATATATATATATATATATATATATATATATATAGAGAGAGAGAGAGAGAGAGAGAGAGAGAGAGAGAGAGAGAGGGAGAAAGAGAGAAAATAAAATGTATATATAAATAAAAAGAGTGCTTTTAAAACTTAGTAAATTTTAAAATATAAGTTACTCCAAAATTCGCTTGAGGATGAAATGGAACTAATGTCTTTAATTTAATTACAAAATTAAATTCGAAGCATTCAGCTCCCGTTTTTGAAACATTGTTAATACAGTGTAGCGAAAAGACTATATTTTAAATCAGTTAATTTATAATATATATATATATATATATATATATATATATATACCGAGCACTCTTTTTAAGAATAGTATTTCTAGGTTATTAGAATTTATTCCGTATACACCAATCCTATACTTGGATATATATATATATATATATATATATATATATATATATATATATATATATATGTGTGTGTGCCTCTGTGTGTGTGTGCTTGCGTGCGTGTGCGTGTGCAAGCAGAAGTATGTGTTGATTGCTTTTTAGGTAAAACTATTTTGCTTAGGGACATGTAAATAATACATCGTATTTAGTTTGCGTTCTGAGATTACAAATTGTTTTTTAGCGCTAGTCGTTGTGTTTGTCAATGCAGACCCCATAGTTCAGGTTCTCTGTCCTGTAGTCAAACACTGACCTTGAAAGCTGACAAAGAGAAACGACCTGAAGAAATAAAAGATTCAGTTGTGCTCTCCATTAATTTTTCTCTTTTCCCTCTGTGACCCCGTTTACAATTCCTGTTGCCTTCAATTTAATATAGATTTTAAATAAGAGCCGGACGAGGTCTACGGCCCACTTCAATTTTGGCGGGAACACAAGAATAGCGAAGATTTCAGGTGACTATTCTTTATAGTCAGTTATTCTCCACCAACGACTATACGAATATTCTGTTGTTCAGAGTGACTCGTGAATGTGCGGGTGGCGCAATACATAAGCGGCTCGTACTGAGAAATCAGAGAGCAGGGAACGAATTTCACTCGGGTTCGTTACATTCAAACAAACTTGGGAAAAGTATGAATTCATCCCCTCTTACTAACTATGGGTTAAATATTAGGATTTCTATATGGGAAATCATTGCTATTTGTATATGGAAAATCATTTTTTTATTTCTGCAGGAGAAATCTTTGTTATTTGTATATGGGAAATTATTGCTATTTCTATGTGGGAGATCATTGTTATTTGTATATGTGAGATCATTTTTATATCTACATAGGAAAATCATTGTGATTTTTTATATGGGAAATCATTGTTATTTCTACATGGGAAATCATTTTCATATCTGTATGGGAAATCATTGTTATTTGTATATAAGAAATCATTTTTATTTCTATAGAGGAAAATCACTGTTATTTGTATATGGGAAATCATTGTTATTTGTATATAGGAAATTATTTTAATTTCTATATAGGAAATCATTTTAATTTCTATATAGGAAATCATTTTAATTTCTATACAGGAAAATTATTGTTATTTCTATATGGGAAATCTTTATTATTTTTATATGGGAAATCATTTTTATTTCTATATTGGGAATCATTTTTATTTCTATATGGGAAATCATTGTTATTTGTATATTGGGAATCATTTTTATTTCTATATGGGAAATCATTGTTATTTGCATATGGGAAATCATTGTTATTTGTATATGGGAAATCATTGTTATTTGTATATAGGAAAAACATTGTTATTCTAAAAAATGTCTTAATATAATATTCGCTTGCAAAAAAAAAAAAAAGATCTTTCTATATATCTTGAGATTCCTGACAAATTCCATAGAAGTATCTATAATGGAATCCATTCTGACTGGCATTATGACTTCAGTCACATTCTCACCGACGTTACGTGGCTTCCCTATGTCTTTTCTACAAATATTTTCATGGCAATTATTCTGATGAAAAACACTGCCGAAAATTTTGGGACACATAATGAGGAAAGTGTGTTTGGAAAATCTAACACTTACAGGACATAACCAAAGCAATATAAGTACGACTAATCTGGTAATAAACAACTTAACGGCATGAATACTAACGGTAATAAGTGCCGATTTCTTATAAGTCGAATTTCTAAGCGTTGCTTAGATGTGGTACAAGGCCGAAAGTATAGAGCACCCGGTGAGGATCGAACTCACTGTTCAGTCGTTGCCGTTTCCTTATAAGGAAACATTTAGTATTCATTGACGGAGCAGCTGCTACTTCTGCAAGTTGATATTAAAAAAACAATTTTCTTACAACAATTTTTCAGGAAAATAGTCCAGCAGTTGTTATCACTCTTTGCAGAATTGATGGAGGTTTCCTTCCTAACCTTTTGTTTAAAGGAGTGGGGAATATCAGAATCTTGATTATATTATTATTTTTTCTTCGGCTTAGATGTGATTTCAACTGACGCTACTTTTGGAAAACTTCAAGTGATGTAGTTCCTGTTATTTGGTAAGGTTCTTTGTTTGCTATTCCGTAGCGCCAGTGCGCGAGATTCTCGCTGAGACATACAGGTTTCAGCCATTTTTAAACATGCTCTTGGAAAGAGGTTGTGTACAGCTGACAGTTTAGATATTTTGGAACGCGTTTAGCGCCATACATGACATCCATATGAAAGTTTCCTGTCTGACGAGGCTATTTCAGAATATGACTCGAATTTTCAGGTTAATGTTTTGGTTACGTACCAATTTGTGTCGTTGGGAGAAACTATCCTTAGTACAAACTATTTTTAAGTCTTCATTTTTTTAGCTGCAGATTTTTCTTCTAGTAGTAAATTTTTTCTTCGAAATTAAATGAAATTTTTTTAATGGTTTATATAGAAGTTGTTATGTTATGTTATATTAATTAAATTAAATTTAAAGAAAGAAAGAAAGAAAGAAAGAAAGAAATTTACAGAAAAAAGGGAGGAAAGAAACGAAGGAGAAAGAAAGAAAGAAAGAAAAAAAGAAAGAAAGAAATAAAGAAAGAAATAAATAAATAAAGAAAGAAAGAAATTATGGAAAAATGGGGGAAAGAAAGAAATTACGGAAAAAATGAAGGAAAGGAACGAAGAAGAAAGAAAGAAAGAAAGAAAGAAAGAAAGAAAGAAAAAAGAAAGAAAAAAAGAAATTACGGAAAAATGGGGGAAAGAAAGAAAGAAATAACGGAAAAAATGGAGGAAACTAACGAAGGAGAAAGAAAGATCGAAAGAAAGAATGAAAGAAAGAATTTACGGAAAGAATTGGGGGAAATGAATGAAGGAGAAAGAAAGAAAGAAGGAAACAAATAAATTACAGAAAAATGGGGGAAAAGACGATGATGATGATGACCATAACGACGATGATGACGATGATGATGATGATGATGATGACGACGCTGATGAGGATGTGGGTGATGATGACCATGCCGATGATGATGATGGTGATGACGATGATCATGATGATCTTGATGATGTTGAAGACGACGATGAGGTTGATCGTGATGATGACGACAATGACGATGATGATGATGATTGAATTCATTCGAAACCATTCGTATGCATTAACTAACAATGTGCGGCATTCGCTTTATTAAAAGAAAAACTCATTTCGATACAAAAAAAAAAAAAATTGAAGTCAGATAGCGAGAGAGCAAAACGAGGGTGAACAAGAGAGAGAGAGAAAAGAGAAAATGAAGACGTAGAGAAAGAGGAAATAAGAGGGGAGACCGATTGGAGCAAAGAGAGAGAGAAAGAGATACAAAAAAAGCGAGAGAGAAAGAAATATACAGGAAAATAGAAAGGGACAGAGTAAGAGGAGAAAATATTGGATTAAAAAGAAGGAGACGGCGGATAAACATGTTGGGACAAAGATAGAAAGTGAGTATATATATATATATATATATATATATATATATATATATATATATATATATATATTTAAGTAATTCATCGAGTCTGAAATTTCTATCATAATCTTTATCATATATATATATATATATATATATATATATATATATATATATATATAGAGAGAGAGAGAGAGAGAGAGAGAGAGAGGGAGAATAAAATGTTTGAAAATATAGTAATGGAAACAGTTGCGGATTGGTAGAGAGAGAAAGAGATAAAGTGAAAGAGATAGAGAAAGATTGAGAGAAGCAGAGAGAGAAAATAAAAGCACTGAATTTTGGGGATAGATAGATAGATAGATAGATATGGAGAGACTGACTCTTAAATAGACAGATAGATAGAATAAATTCATTGAAGTTTTGGAATAGATAGATAGATAGATAGATAAAAGAGAAAACTTTTGTGCTTTTATTTATCCCTCTCTGAGGGATAAATAAAAACATTGAAGTTTTGGGATAGGTAGGTAGATGTTGAAGTTTTGAAACGCACACACACACACACACACACACATATATATATATATATATATATATATATATATATATATAAGAAGAAGAAGAAGAAGAGACCGATGAAAAAAGTGAAGACTGAACCGCTAATTAGTTTGTTTTTGTCCGACACCCACAGCTTGGCGCATAAAAGCGACCGTCAGAGCGGACATGCGGCCATGTTGGATTTGTTTTATTTTTGTTTTCAAGGTATTTCTTTGCAATGAGGTTGACAGACAAAACGGCCTTTGTGCTGACCGAATACATCAAAATGGGTCGGACGTGTGTATGAATGAGAGAGAGAGAGAGAGAGAGAGAGAGAGAGAGAGAGAGAGAGAGAGAGTTAAGTGAAAATAAAATAGTAAAAAAAAAAAAGAAAAATTACCCAACAAAAAACTCAAAGCAAAAACCAGGGCAAAACAAACGGTCGTAATTAGAAAGAAAAAAGTTACTGACTTGGCCAAGATGAAGAATGCTTTAACGGAATGCGGAGAAAGAAACAGAATAAAAAGAAAAACGTCGAGAGAGACGGTCTAATGTGACAAGAGAAAGCGAAACGGAGAAAAATAAAAGTCCATACCAAATTGAAAGAATTGGAAGAAAGAACATTGCAAGGAGGGTAAATAATAATAATAATAATATTAATGATAATGATATTGATGATAATAATAGTTGTGGATTCCGGGTTGAAATCCTGTACCAATAAATAACAAACGCCAGGAATGAATATATGAAAATAATGTATTAACGTAATAATACAAACTGGTAAAGCAGGTTAGTAGTTCCAGGAATACGGGTTAGTAGCAAAATATCTATACAGTCTTTGGTATTGAAGTATCGCTGTATGACTTCTTACTGAGTCTACGTGCTCGCTCACTGTGACTCCTACAACGCTGTTACCTCACTCCTCACTCTTCCGGTTACCTACAACCTTTTACTTTGTCACTCTGGACTCGACTCCTCGGTTATTCACTGGCAGTAGTATAAGTATACACTGGGTGAGTCCATTTGTATAAAAAAGGGTGGACGCGTCAACAATAATAATAATAATAATAATAATAATAATAATAATAATAATCAAAATACAAGGAACTTGAACCCGAAATCTCAAAAATGTGGCACATGAGAACATCAATAATTCCCGTTGTAGTTGGAGCCCTCGGATTGATTGGAAAAGATTCCAGTAGACTAATTGAAGGAATCCCTGGAAGCCCATGCCTTAAAAAAATACAAAAAAAAAATGTTCTCACGAGTACAGCCCACATCTTACGAAGGGCTTTAGCTATGTATTTTTTTTTTTCTTATAGAAAATGTCATGATGCCATTTCTAACCTTAAGTCCCTGGGACCCGGAAAGAAATGAGTACACATTAGAAATCAAAGGAAATAAAATAAAGATAATAATAATGAAAAAATTGAATTAACCCGAAATGCAAATTCTGTGATAAATATCCAGAAACAATTGATCATCTTGTATCCGTTTGCACGGTATGAGAAGCCACTGAATTTAAAACGTGGCATAACAGAACGAGGCAATATGTGTACTGGGAAATCGGTATTTTTTTACGGAAATTAAACTGCAAGAAACTGGTATGAACACCACCCAAACCTGGTTACGGAGATAAAACCTGTAACAATTTTATGGGACTTTATAATACACACGGACAGAACAATCAAAGTTAATCGCCCAGATATCGTGATTAAAGGTCATAAGAACAGAATGGGCTTTCTTATTGACATTTGCTGTTCCTGTAGGTTATCAAAATACAAGGTTCTTGGAGGGGAAATCAAAAAATGTCGCACATGAGGATATCAATAATTCCGGTTGTAGTTGGAGCCCTCAGTTGGATTGGAAAAGTTTCAAATAGACTCATTGAATGGACTACTGCCAGCCAATGCCTTAAACAAATACAGAAAGAAATATATTCACAAGTACATCTCGCTGCTAAGGAAGCGCTTTATCTAAGTAAAATTTATGTGCTATGAGGTAGTTTTATTTTTATTTTTCACAAAAATGCTCAGCGGGAAATATCCTGATGCCATTTCTAACATTACGTCTCTGGTTGGGACCCGTAAAGAAATGAGTATAAAACAAAAATAAAAAATAACAATATCCATATATAATATAAAGTAGTGTATATAATAATAATAATAATAATAATAATAATGGACTCTCCCGTCGGTTTCGACGTATGAGGATCTGCCAGCTTATTGATTCAGTTATGAAAGTTTATGCGCTAATCTTAAGTGGCATTTAAAACCCGCTAGTGATTTACAAAGGAGGACACATATGGAGCAAGTGTGAGGATTGTGAGATGAGATCATTCTTAGATTGGTTGACCTTTTAGATCTTGCTCTCGTTTCTTGAAGATGATATATATATATATATATATATATATAAATAAAAGACAGGATGTGTGTGTGTGTGTGTGTGTGTGTGTGTGTGTGTGTGTGTGTGTGTGTGTGTAACGAATGCACGGCCGCAGTTTTTGACGGATTTGCACCAAAATTTACATGCACATGTTAGCGGGAAGGACAAGACCGACTTTGCATTTTCCAACTCCCATCGATAGTGGAAATAATCGATTTTTTCATGCTTCTACGGCATTTTTCATGTAGTTTGCAGCCATTTTCTACTGACCAGAGTGAGAGCCTATAGCTGGCTGCCACGAATAGGCAGGAAGATTCTATTGTCCAGCGTGTGAGCCAACAGCTGACTGACACGAATGTTAACTAGCATGCAAAAAAAATCGATAACTGCATTCGTCACAAGTGGGAAAAATTTAAATCTGCATGGCACTTTACTCCAATTGGCTCATTCGCTTGCTTAAACTCAACGTTGATTCTGATTCTGCAGAACTGGGTTGGGTGTGAAAAGTATTTGTTGTTAACATTCTTTTTTCATTCGGTTTTTCCAGTTACGAGTCCATTTTTAAAGCTGATCGTTTTGTGTTTATTTTGTTTAGTTCTTTTTTCGTAACAGATTTAATGTTTAGTATAGAGCTTAGAAAAAATTCGCAGTATGAGATAGGCAAGGAGTAAGGCATGTAGCAACATCAGCACGGCAAAGGGCACTCCTTTAAAAGCAAGAAAATATGACAGCGATTGCTGTATGAATCGTACGATTTTTGAATCAAGCACGGGCAACGCTGCTAGTATAGTAGTATATATATATATATATACATACATACATATACATATATATGGAGAGAGAGAGAGAGAGAGAGAGAGAGAGAGAGAGAGAGAGAGATGAAATGAAATGGATTAAATCCGACGTATTTTTAATTTATCTATTTAAACGTTATTTTAAATGGGTACTCATATTGAAGCAGATGCTTTGCTTTTATTTATTGGTTAAACAGTGTCTTCATTTAGTTACATCTATCGGACTGAATATTCGAGAAATCCAGCGAGAAAATTAATCGCCCTGTGGCATGATTCAATCCTGCGTCGGCTAGGGTACCCGTCACTAGTTTCGACGTGCCTTAGACGACTCGGCTACGCTGGACATCCTGATCAGGCAAAGCCCGAAATGAAATTTATTTTACAAGATCAAAATCTACATTGGGGAAATGAAACGTCCCTTCCCGGTAAATGATTAAACTCACTGCTTAGAAATTAGATTTTAACGAATTTCATCCCAGTTTTCATTTGATTTTATAAAAAAAAAAAATTGATTGTGATTTGTAATCTCGTCTCTTTATCAATATTATAGCATCTGTGTGTGGGTGTATCGTTAGTGATTTGACTATGAAACCCGGTTATATCATTTAGATTATTCTATATATTTTGTATACGTTTATTTATTATGGCAATATTATATAATTTAGATTATTCTTTATATTATGTATTTGTTTATTTATTATGACAATGATATTATATAATTTAGATTATTCTAGATATTATGTATACGTTTATTTATTATGAAAATTTATAATTTAGATTATTCTTTATATTATATATTTGTTTATTTATTATGACAATGATATTATATAGTTTAGATTATTCTAGATATTATGTATGCGTTTATTTATTATGACAATGATATTATATTAATTAGAGTATTCTATATATTATGTATATTCAGTGGTGGATTAATGAAGCTTAATCTTTAGGTTCCCTAATCCTAGAGGGGCACTTAATTTAGACGCAACTTAATTTTTCGACCAATTCGATTTTTTAAGTGTTTGTTGTTAAATTAAGCTCATTTTCGTGACAGAATCGTAAGCCGATTGGTTAAAGTAGCTAATGTTGGCCTAAGAATATGCTCTAAAGAGCATTTTATATGGCCTCAAAATTACCCTGAAGTTGATAAAATTTCTCAGATTTTCTTGGGAGTCATCACCAGCTGTAAGGGATCGTTAAGCTCCTCTTAATCTATTCATAGACTAAATTTTGGCAGTTGGGTCCTTGAATCTATAGCTGCTAGTTGCGAAGGAGACTCCATATCTGGTCAAGCTTCAGGGACCCCAAAAATATATGTCCGCCATAGTGTATAAGTTTATTTATTATAACAATGACATTTTAGCATAATCAGTTTACAGCGGTTTTAATTTTGATATTCACGCTTATTGTGCTTTGGACTTTCGATAATAATTAATTTAATGACCTTTAAAAATGTTCGCGGTACACGATACACAATCTCACGGCACACCAGTTGAAAAAACCGGTTGAAAAACACTGTCTTAGTGTGTTATCTGTACCATATTTGAATTTACAAATGACAGATTCGTGAATGTACTTACATCATTGATAACTGCGTACTATTAAGAATTGGAAAAAAAGGAATGTTATCAGTAGTACGCAGTTATCAATGACGTAAGCACGGTTTCAAATTTGATATGTGTAAATTAAAACAATATACAGACAACTCTTTAAGACGTCAGCGATCGAGTTGAGAGTGTATTTATACGATGAACTGCATCTGCATTTCAATTTAAAAAAAAAAATCACCCC